CCAAGGCCAGGGGGGCTGGGGGTCGGATTCAGCCCCTTGCAGAGAGCCAGCTCAGCACGTCCCCGTGGGGTGGGGGTAGGGGGTGCGGGGCCTGATCCATGCCTCTAACCCTTTCCCCCGTCTCCAGGCCAGCACCCAGCTAACCAGCCCCATCACGTCCCCCACTCAGTCCCCGACGCCCTCTCCCGTGACCAACCTCAGCAGCGTCTGCACAGGGCTCGGCCCGCTCCCGGTCCTCACTCAGTTCCCCCGGCCCGTGGGCCCAGCACAAGGTGAGAAGGGCGCCAAGGGTGAGACGGGGTGCGGGGAGCCTTGGAACCAGAAGAGCCTCTACGGTGAAACTGGCCAAGCTCAGAGCTCCGAGGAGCCCGGGCCCAAGGCATGGGGTGGTCTTGACGGGGTGCATTGTGGGAGTTTGCATCCGGACAATGGGCCCTTGGCCTGGTCCCCTGGGGAGGCACCGGTGGCCAGAGAGTGAACCCTGACCTGCCGAGGCAGCCTTCGAACCTGCAAAGCAGTCGCTGGGTAGAGCCTGGCGCTCCAGGGAGCTGAGGCCTCTCAGCCAGCTGTTGCAGGGGGCGGAGCCTGGTGCCCCGCGGGGCGGGGCCTGCTGGCCAGGTGTTACAGGACCCACCAGATGGGTTATTTCCATAGCGTCGGTTGCCTTGAAAACCCGAACTCAAGGCCTGCGAGCGTCCCATATAACCACTCACCCTGCTACTGTCATGTCCTCCCCGCCTTTCCGGCCCGTGCCAGTGAGACTGGTGCCCAGAGAGGAGGCCTCACCCCCTTGCTGCCCCCCCCCCTTCCCGGGAATGGCTGTGGCCGAGCTGACGCGCACGTCCCTGGCAGGAGCAGGGAGCGTGGAGGGAAGGACCATCTCCTGTGGGGTTCTGCAGCGCTGCACCCCCCCGCCCCAGCACCCCCAAATCTCTGCTTCTGCTTTCCAGGCGACGGGCGCTACTCTCTACTGGGCCAGCCACTGCAGTACAATCTCTCCATCTGCCCTGCTCCTCTGCTGCCCAGCCAGTCCACCTACAGCACACACCAGGTAGGGAGAGTGCGGCCGCCAGCCCGGAGGCAGGCTGGGGTCCCCCATCACAGCCAGTCCTCCTCCTGGCCCCCGACTTCGGATGGAAACATTGGTATAGCTGGGGCTGGAGGAGTGGGGGGCTCATGACTGGTCTTCCCTGTTCGGATTCGAGGGCTCTTTGGGGGACGCAGAGATTGGGGGGCTCCCAAAGAGGAAGCTGCTCCCTCAGCATGGGTCTGTCTGCGGCACTAGCCCACCCTAGGTGCAGGGACTCACTGGCCTGACGTCTCTGATGCTGTAGCCCTGCTCCTGTCCCCCGTCCCCCAGAATTGGACAGGGGAAGCCAGACCTGAGTCCCAAGGTGGGAAAACAGGAGACTTTTGTCCTTAATGGTGGGTTTTCGACCAAAAACTCTGTTTTTGACAAACTCAAAACATAGAGAAAAAGTCCTGCACACCACACACAATTAACCTGTGGAACTCATTGCCAGGGGACGTTGTAAAGGCCAAGAGTATAACTGGGTTCAAAGTTCATGGCGGACAGGTCCATCAAGGCTGTTAGCTGAGATGGTCAGGGGTGAACCCCCAGGCTCTGTGTCCCCCAAGCCTCTGACGGCCAGAAGCTGGGACTAGAGGGCAGGGGATGGATCACTCGGTAATTGCCCTCTTGCGTTCAGTCTCTCGGAAGCATCTGGCATTTGGATTTGGAAAAGGAACAAGCTTTGAAACTGCGGAATTTCTCGCCTACCTGTATAAAAGCCCAACAAACAATGCCCCCCCTTCAAACTCCAGCCAGTCACCTTTGTCCCCCAGAAAGAAGCAAAATGTGGGGGGTGAGCCCCAGTTTCCCCTCCCTCAGGCCAGGCAAAAATTACAATAGTGAGTCAGTCCCAAAGAGCGCCCACCCCCACCCCCCCACCCCCCCGGAGCGTGGCCCTTTGCAGACCTAGGCCCTGGTTGGTGCAGAGGGATGCTCGGGCTCCGCCAGGACATGCCCTGCGCTGCAGGATCGGGGCCCTAGCCCAGTGCCCGCAGCCCGTCTCTGAGCAGGCTGACAGCAGGCCAGCTGAGTTCCCATGTAAATAGTCCCTGGGCTGAAACGTCACTCTGCCCCAGCCTCGCCCAAGCCGGACATCCGCACCGAGCGTCCTGCAGCATCTCCCCCGAGATGGAGACGGGCGCAGGGAGCAAGCTGCTTCCTTGCTCCCTGGCCTGGGAGTGCAGGCTGGAAATGGCCCTTGCCTGTCCCCGCTCGGCTGCACCAGGGGCTGGGCTAACCTCTGTGCTCTGGGCACGCTGGCCAAGGGGCTCCCAGCCGGCTCTGCGGGACAGGGCGGCTTCTCCGGGTGACTCTGTTTTCGCTCTTCCAGGGCCAGACAGGGATGAAACACGGAAACCGAGGCAAGAGACAGGCCCTCAAGTCAGCGTCCACCGACCTCGGCACAAGCGACGTAGGCGAGTGACCTCGGGGGCTGCTCACGCCCACCCGTGCCTGGCCTCGGCTGGCAAACGCCCCAGCCAGCCCAGCCTCCCGGGTGCCTCCCTCGCCAGTCACCTGCCGAGGGGGCAGTTTGAGCCCTTGTCACTGGGCAGCAGGGACCGATCCTGGACGGGACCTGCTGGGGACTAGAGAGGAGAGACCCATGGTCCTCGGAAGTGCTGCCCGCAAGCCCCCTTAGAGAGTGTGCGCGGTGGCAGCAGAGAGGCCCCCGGGCCTCCCCCTCTGCCCCTGCCACACATGGCACAAAGCACAGTGCCCTGTGCTCCCCCCGGCTGAGCTGCGTCCAGCAGCTGGAGGAGTGTGTGCCAGGAGACGCACACGCTGCTCTGTGGGGTGTGATCTAATGGTGAGGGGGGGCTGAGAGCCAGGACTCCTGGGTTCTACCCCCACTTTTGGGGGGCAGTGGGGTCTATTGGTTAAAGTGGGGGGCGGGGCTGGGAGCCAGGTTCTGTGCCCAGCTCGGGGAGGGGAGTCTAGTGGGTAGAGCAGAGCTTGGTGTCCAGACTTGTGGGCTGTTCCTGTCGCTGACTCCCTCTCTCTGCCTGTTTCCCCACCGAGATAGTAGCGGGGTGGCGTCTGCGAAGTGCTTTGAGATCCCCCAGCTGAAGCTGCTCAGCTGGGGTTCTCTCCAAACGCCGGGCTCGGCAGCCGGCAGAGGGCTCTCTGCCGCCCGCCTGGGGAGCACGCTCGGCGCTTGCTAATTGGGGACAGGCTGCAAGGCAACGTCCTGCCACGGGTCTCGGGGGAGGCTTAAAATCCCTCCCCCTTCCCCGCCCCGGATAAACAGCTGCAGCAGGGAGACCCCCTCACTCGGGCAGTGGAGCAGGCAGGGGCCGGGGGATCTGTTACACGCTGGTTTAATATTAGCACAGAATTCGGTCTGCCAGGGCCCTGGAACTGCCGCTCACCCCCGCCTGGCTCCCGGAGCCCGAGCCGCGGCCGCGACGCGCTCTGTGCCCTGACAGCTGCAGAGTACGGGCAGCTCGGCCTGCGGGCACGGCCTGGGCACGGCCTGGCTCTGCCCCCTGTGTGGGGCTGGCACAGGCGGGTGTGGTTCTGTTCTGGGCCAGGTCAGAAATTAACCACGGCCCCTTGGCATCAGCTGCCTCTGCCCTCCGCCGGGAGCTGGCTTTGCCCTGAGTTCGGAAGCACCGGTGTCTGGGACTGGCCGTGCTGCCCAGAGAGGCTCCCCAAGGTGCCCCCCAAGGAGCCCTGAGCACTCGGCCCCCCCTCAGCTCTCCCCACCCATGTCCCCGGGCCCGAGTCTGGCTCCAGGGTGGGCTGATAGAGGGGAGGCAAACTCTCCTGCCAGGGAGCGTCCTGTGCCCCGGGACAGGCTCTGCAGGGCTGCATGGGACGTGCATTGGCCCACCCACCGCAGGGAGAAGGGGGTGCCCTGGGGCATGAACTGCAGGGACATCCCAGCTCCCGCCTCTGGGATTCAAGCAGGGACCGCTCCCCTCCCAGAGCAAAACCCAGGCATCCTGGCTCCCAGCCCCCCCACGCTAACCTCTAAGCCCTACTCCCTCACAGAGCCGGGTATAGAACCCAGGAGTCCTGGCTGCCCTCTCCCCCTGCTCTAACCTGTAGACCCCATTCCCCTCCCAAAGCCAGGGAGAGAACCCAGGAGTCCTGGCTCCCAACCCCCTCCCTCCCTCCCTGCTGTCACTGGTTCCCGGTCGCTGGTTCCCAGCTGCTGACCTGGCCTTGTCTCCCCGCAGTGCTGGGCCGGGTGCTGGAGGTGACGGACCTGCCCGAGGGCATCACGCGCACCGAGGCCGACAAGCTCTTCACCCAGCTCGCCATGGCCGGGGCCAAAATCCAGTGGCTGAAGGAGACTCAGGGGCGGCGCGGGGCCGGGGGCGGCGCAGGCGACCACCACGGGCCGGCGGAGAACGGCCGGCACCCGGACCTCGCTGCCTTGTACACCGTGGTGGCCGTGTTCCCCAGCCCGCTGGCCGCCCAGAACGCCTCGCTGCACCTCAACAACTCGCTCAGCCGCTTCCGGCTGCGCGGGGCCAAGAAGAACTACGACCTGCGGGTGCTGGAGCGGGCCAGCTCCCAGTAGGCCCCCGCCGGCCCGGCCCCACCGCCCCCCCGCCGGCCGCGCGCCCGGCCCCTATTTATATGGACACAATGAAGAGATGAGAAATTGATGATGATTGGGGTTTTTTTTTTTTTTTTTTGGAGTGGAAGAACATTTCCCCCCCTCGCCCCCCGGTAACGTGCCCCCCACTGCCCCCCCCCGGACACGTGTCTCGTTTCGCCCCGCGTTGTGCCGTGGCGGGCACCGCGTTCAGTCGCACACGCAGGTGTTGGCTGGGTCTGGTCGCTGTACAGTCTATTTAATCCGGGGGGGCGGGGGCGGCGGGGGTTTGGTTTTGTTTTTAAATATAAAAAAAAAAAAAAAAAATCGTCCATCACTTTAAAGCTGCTTCCGGTTTCTGTGCCCAGCGCGAGGGGTTAACGCGAGACGTGCCCCGCTCATCTCTGGGACCGCCCCCTCTTCCCCCCCCCACTGTACCCCTCCTGGGGTGGCACCAGTGGGGGAGGGGTGCTCACGGGGGGTGGGTGTCGCCCCCACTCATCAGCAGGGCTAAGGAGCAGGCCTAGACACCTAGTAGGGTAGGGCCGAGCCCCCCCCCCCAGTCCCCCTCCATTGGGATGGCAGTGTGGGGCAGTCCGGTGGCCCTGGAGAGGATCGAAGGGAGGGATGGCTCCCCGCTGAGCCCCATAGCCAGGGGCAGGCAGGGCCACATCCGTGCCCAAACTGGAGCCTCCAGGAACTGGCACCAACGAACCAGAGCCCCTGCCTGCGGCATCGGCCCTGCGGCGCTGAGCCGGGCCCCTGGGGGTGGAGCTGATCCCGGGCCCTGCACCCCCGCGGCACAGAGAGAGCCGGCCAAGCCTCGTGGCCTGTGGGCTACTGCTACCGGCCCTGGCTCGCTGCTCCGCCAGGCCAGGCTACGCTCGCCATGGGAGAGGAGCGAGGCCCGGCACAGACCTCACGGCAGGCCCAGCGTCGGCCTGCAGCGCTCCAGCCTCCGGGGGCCGGGCCAGCCCCTGCGGTGACGGGCAGAACGCACCAGAGAGGTAAGAGCCGACTGGAGGGGGCAGGTGGGGGATTCTCAGACCAGCCTGCAGCAAATCGCTCAGCCCCTGGGCTGTACCGCGGGGGCAGCAGCCCTGGGGCTGAGCAGGAGGGGGGTGTCCCTGGGAGGGGCCGTGCCCACCTGCGCCCCCCAGGGACGATAGAGTCTCAGGCTGGAGACCAGCGCTGCCCGCCGCAGAGCAGCCAGGGCCCCAACCCTCCACCTCTGTGGGGACTCTGGTGTTCGGGGTCAGCCTGGCAGAAGGGATTTCGGATCCACATGCACCAGAGCCTGACAGATTCTGGGGCAAACAGCCAACTCCTGGACGTAGCCCCCAGGCTTGAGCTCCCCACCCCGGGCGGCCTGGGTTGGGCCGAGTTCAGCAGCAGCTGGCCTCCCTGTCCCATCTCCCAGCTGCTGGGGGGCAAGGGGCGCCCCGGCTGCACATCTCCCAGGCCAGTGCGGGGGTAGGACCCAGTAACCCTGGAGCAGCCCTGCCAGGGGTTTGTCCAACTTGCCCCCCCAAAACTCCCAATACTGGGGATGCCAAAATGTCCCTGGGAGTCTGGCCCGGAGCCTCCCTGCCCGGGGCGTTTAGCCAATTGCTCCTTGTCCCCCGGGCAGGAGGAGGAGTCGGGCGAAGGCCTGGCCATGGGGCCTGGAGCCTGCTACAGAGCGGCTGCCCCAGTCCCCGAGGACAGAGGGTGTTCCCCACATGCAGGGGGACATGGACACAGCCCCCCATATGGTTTAAGCTTCCGCAGGAAGGGACAGGGTGGGAGCCCTCCAGGGACAGGGCCTGTGATGGCAGCTCAAGGCGGAGAAGCTGGTGGGGGGCAGGAAAAGGGGGTGCAAGCAGCCCTCTGAGAACTGCCCCGCCAGGGCCTCCCCAGCGGGCATCAGAGCGGCTCGGGGCATGCCCCGTGTGTGCTGCGTTATGGGTATTGTCTGCAGCCCAGGGCCATGGGGAACAGAACACAAGCTGGAGCAGCCCCGAGGCTGCTCTGACTTGGGCCGGGCAGGGCCCCCCAACTAGAAGGACACAGAAGTGGCTTTACCCTGTCCCAGCCCGGTGACCGAACCTCAGGCCCTGCATGGGGGGGTTCAGGCAGGTCGGGGGGGCTCGCCCCACCGTCTGCCGGAGCCCGATGCCTGCAGGGAGAGAGAGCCTGCCAATATCTTGCTCCTCGGCCGCTGGGTCTCCCTGTTCCCAGGCAGAATCCGCAGAGCGCGGCTCCTTGGCCGGTGGCCATGGCTCGGTGCATCCCAGGGGCAGAACGCCCTTTCCTGTCCCCGCGGGGACATGGGAACCGAACACCTGCAGCCCGGGTGCCCGTCCCACCTGTGGCTGGGCTGGCTACCCTGTGCCCGCGTCCACCGGCGCCCGGACCCTCCAGGCAACCAGCCAGTGGCTCCCGCCGGCCAGGCCCGCTCGTGTGCAGGCTCCAATTTCTCGGCGTCAGCTTCCCGCATGGGGCTCAGCTGTTCGCTCCCCTCTCGCCCTGTCACTCCGTCCCCGGCCGGCAGCCGAGCGCCCCTGTGCAGCCAGGCCTGGGGGTCGGCGCTGGCTACTCTGGGGCAGCCGGGGCCCGTCGGCACTGCTCCTGGGGAGGATTTACCCAGCTGGGAGGGAGCCCGAAGCTCAGAGGTGAGTCTCCCCCCCCACACACACACACCCCCGGCCTGCTGTCTTTCTCCTCTCCCCGGCTGTGCACCCATCTCAGACGCCCCCTTCCCTTCCAGACTGGGGCAGGGGGTCCGGCAGCCTGGGCCCCCAAAGCGCCCCCGGCCTCCGCTCTCAAGCGTTACACACACACACACACACACACACACACCCCTGTGACACACCCAGACACATGCATACACACCCCTGCGACCGACACACGTCCCTGCTGTGACACACGCCCGTGACACACACACTCACACACGCACGCCCCTGCGACACACACACCCTGCAAGCTGGGGGATCAAGGGCTCGTATGATGCCGGGAACTTAAAATAGCGCCTGGGCCGGACGTGTGGGGAGCTGCGGGCGTGGCACTGCTGGGCACAGCAGAAAGGGGGCGAGCGGTAGGCCCAGCAGTCGTGGGGCTGGGGCTGTCTCCTCTGGGGGGCGCGGTAAGGCCTTGGCAGAGAAGCAGGGCCCTTGCCGTGACGCCGACCGGTGCTGTGTAAACCCCCGGGCAGGTCGTTCGTCTGGCACCGTGGGCAGGAGCGTGGGCCTCCTCTGTGCCCATGGATGCCCCGTGCTGGGCCCTGGCGGGCGCTGCTGTGGGGCAGAGACGGGCACCGAGCTGGCTCATCCCGCGGCGCCTTCAATTGGCTGCAGGTTAGCGGGTGTTGCCAGGGGAGCCCCCGGGGCCCCGTGACGCCTCTGCTCCCCCTTGCAGCATGACTGAGAGGGAGTCCCTGGCGCCGCCAGCCTCGCCCGCGCCCGGGGGGAAGCCAGCGAGCAGGGTAAGTGCTGCCAGGGGATTGGCCTCGGGATGGGGCGGCTGGGAGGTTCCCCCCGCCAGCGCTGCCTGGCCCTCTTGGGGGGGCTCCTTTCCGGCCCCACTGGCTGCCAGTCGGGGGGACGCAGGTCCCTGTGTCCCAGCGGCTGGAACCCCCCCCCCAAGTCCCAGGGATGTCATGAGTTGGGGGTGTCGGTGGGGACGTGGCCTGCTGCCCGCGTGCCCCCCACCTCCCCATGCCCAGGTCTCCGCGGCCGGCACGCCCAGCCCGTTACGCCTGTGCAACGGGTGCCCTGCGCACACTCCTGCAGGGAGGGGGTTGGGGGTCCTCTGCCAACGCTGCCCCGCCCGGCGCAGCAGGCCCCAGAGAGTGGGGGGCCCTAGCGAGGGGGCTGAGCGAGCTGGGGGTGCAGGGGGCAGTCATGGGCAGCAGAGGAGGTGGCTCTGGCACCCACAGCAGCCTGGGGTGTGCAAAGGAGATGAGGGGGGGCGTCGCCAGCCCCCCCCCGGCTGCCCCCAGCCGTTCCCTCTGGAGCCAGGGCACCGTCTGGGCTCCTGCTGCATCCATCCGGGGCAGCAGCCTGGCCACCAACCCGCCATCAGGGCGGCCTCGCCTGGCCCATGGGGCATGAGCCCGGATCCGGGGCTCTGTGCTGGGATGGGGGAACCCCAGGCCAGGTGCCCTGCTAAGGGCGGGGGGGTTGTGGACCGAGCGAGGGGCTGGGGGGCAGGACTCCTGGGTTCTCTCCTGGCTGTGCCACTGACTCCCCGTGGGACCCTGGGGCAAGCCCCCGTTTCCCTCCCATGCCTCAGTTTCCCCCGGGGGGGGGTCAGTGTCTCCGAGGTGCCCAGTGTCTCCCCCCCCCCGGCCCCCCAGCTCCAGGCACTGAAGCAGCTGTTCCTGCGGAGGCCCAAGGAGGAGCCACCGGCGGAACCGCAGCCCAACGGGGAGCTGGTCAGCCCCACGGGGGGGCCCCTCTACTACTTCTACGAGGAGGAAGAGGAGGAGGAGGAGGAGGAGCCTGAGCCGCCCCCCGAGCCCCAGAAGCCCGTCAACGACAAGCCCCACAAGTTCAAGGATCAGTACTTCAAAAAGCCCAAGTTCTGTGATGTCTGCGCCCGTATGATTGTCCGTGAGTGGGGGGCGGGGGGGGCTGGTTAGCCCTGGGGGGAGGGGTTGGGGCGAGGGGGCATGGCTGGGGAGGGTGGTGGTCCGGTGGGGGGGGGGGATAGGACGTGGCTGGGGGGATGGGGGTGGGGGACGTGGCTAGGGCAGGGGGCACAAGGTGCAGGAGGGGGGCCATGGCTGGGGAGGGGGGCACAGGCAAGGAGCAGGGAGGGGGTATTTAGGCCAGAGAGGTAGGGAGCATGGATGAGGAGTGGGCGGGGGGCACTGGCCCAAGGGGGCAGGGGACAGGGTGGGTGGGGGGGGACACACCTTACTGGGGGGTCAGCGACCCACACAGAGGCAGCCCACTGGGACTCCGCCCCTCCTCCCCGTGGCACTTTGGCCAGTCCTGGGGGACAGTAACGTGGCCCCTACTGCCCAGCTCGGTGGGGCACATGGGGGTTGAAGGGGCCCGATGGCCGCCCCCTCCCCAAGGAGACATCTATTCCCAGGGCTCTGTGAAGCCAGTCACGGGGGGCGGGACACACTGCCCCTGTGCCAGCCCTGATCCCTGCTGGGGGGGGTCCCTGTCCAGCCTCCCGCCCCCTCTCCCGTTCCATGGCTGGGACGTTTAATCGACCCGTCTTTGTCCCCCCCGCCCCAGTGAACAACAAGTTTGGCCTGAGATGCAAGAACTGCAAAACCAGCATCCACCAGCACTGCCAGTCCTACGTGGAGATGCAGCGCTGCTTCGGGAAGATCGTGAGTCCGGCCCAGCCCCCCTTGCACCAGTGGGGAAACTGAGGCACAGGGAGGGGAAATGGCTCACTGGGGTCCCACAGGTTTAGAGGGTAGAGCTGGGGTAGAACCCAGGAGTCCTGGCTCCCAGCCCTGTCCCGCTCTAACCACAAGACCCCACTTCCTTCCAGAGCTGGGGTAGAACCCAGGAGTCCTGGCTCCCCTGCTCTAACCCATTGCCCCACCGCTCCAACAGCCAGGGATAGAACCCAGGAGTCCTGGCTCCCAGCCCCTGCTCTAACCACTAGACACGCCCCGCCCCCGAGCTGGGCTAGAACCCAGGCGTCCTGGCTATGCAGGCATCTGTCCTGCCCCGGTAACTCCCCCATTCTCTCTCTCTCGCTCCCAGCCCCCCCGGGTTCCGCCGGGCGTACAGCTCCCCCCTCTACAGCAACCAACAATATGCCTGCGTCAGGGAGCTGCTCTGTAAGTACCAGCCCCCCCCCTGTGGGGGGCCACAGACCCCCCCTCCTGCCCCATAAGTGGAACAACCTTCCCCCCCCCACCCCCCCCGGAACTCACCGCCCCCTTGTGGTGTCTGACTCAGCGGCAGCCAATCGCAGCGACCCCGTGTTCGAGACCCTCCGGACAGGCGTCATCATGGCCAACAAGGAGCGAAAGAAAGGGCAGGACGATAAGAAGAATGTGAGCTGGAGGGACAGGGGGGCCACGCTGGCTGGGGAAGGGGGTCCCCAGGGTGGGCGCTGATGGGGGAGGAAGTGCCCCAAAGCCGAGGCCTGTGGGGGGCAGGGGTGGAACGTCTGGCGCAGGCTGGGGGTGATGCCAGGCTGCCCTGGCATGGGGCGCTCTGGCGAGGGACCAGAATCTCCCTGCTGCGTCTTGGGGACCCGTCCACGGGCCGGGAGGTGAGGATCTGCGCCCCAAATGTTATGGCAGCCACTGGCATCCCGGCAGCCACACACAGCGCGTGGTTCCCGGGCTCCCACTAAGCCCCAGCGCCCCGTTCCCTGCCCTCCACAATCCACCAGGACCTGCCCAGCCTCAGCGCCCCATTCCCTGCCCCCCGCAATCCACCAGGACCCTGCCCAGCCGCAGTGTCCCATTCCCTGTTAACCACAACCCAATAGGGCCCAGCCCGACCCCAGCGCCCCGTACCTGCCCCCCATTATCCGCCAGGGCCTTGCCCAGCCCCAGTGCCCCATTCCCTGCCCCCACCATCCCCTGGGCCCTGCCCAGCCCCTCGTTCTCTGCCCCCCACAGTCTGCCAGGGCCCTGCCCAGCCCCAGCGCCCCGTTCCCTGCTACCCACAATCCAATGGGGCCCAGCCCCCCCCGTTCTCTGCCCCCCACCATCCCCAGTGTCCTGCCCCAATCCCTGTTCCCTGCCCCCCTCAGTCTCCTGGGACCTAGCCCAGCCCCAACGCCCCATTCCCTGCCCCCCCATCCCCAGGGTCCTGCCCTCCCCCTGTTCCCTGCCACCCACATTCCTGCGGCGCCCGGCCGGCGCCCCCTCTCTAACTTGCTTCCCCGTCTCTCTTCCAGCCCTTGGCCACCATGATGGACGAGGATTCGGAGCCTGGGAAGCACGAACTGGGCAAACTCGAGGCAGGTGCGAGCTGTGGGGGTCTGGCGGGGGCCTGCCCAGCTCTGTGTCCCGTGATGCCAGGCAGGGCGTCTGGCCCAATTGTTTTCCTGCCACCCCCGCACCTGCCCTGGGGTCTCAGCAGCAGGGTGGAATTTGTGGGGTGTTGCCCACAGCCTGGGCCCTGGGTGCTTGGGGGGGGGGGACCCATCTGTTAACTTGGTAAATGAAACTGAACCCCCCTTTCTCCTCTTCCTTCCTGTGCTTCCAGGCAACCCAGAAGGGGACAAGAAGGCAGAGAAAAGCACCCCCGACGACAAGGTACCCCCTCCTGGACCCCCCTTGCACCTCACTGCCCCTGCCCCCTACTCCTGGGGTCACAGCCCCCTGACAAGGTACCCCCTTTCTGTACCCCACTGCGACCCCTCCCCCTGGGGTCACAGCGCCCCTACTGACAAGTCCCCTCCCATCCTCCCCCATGGGCGGGGCCCGGCTGCAGCCAAGCTCTGGGGTGGGAAGAGGCCGTGGGGCGCAGCCAGGGCAGGGCGGTTCCTGCTGAGAGCGCTCAGGGCCTGGCAGCCAGATGGTGCCCATAGTCCCTGCCGCTGCTCTGACCCCATTCTCCCGGCCCCCGCAGAACAAGAAGCCCCAGCCCGGCTTCCTGCAGACTCATTACTTCGTGGCGCTTTATCGCTTCAAAGCCCTGGAGAAGGACGACCTGGATTTCCAGTGAGTTTGGGGGGCTGTGTGTGACGAGCGCCCCGGGCCTGGCATGTGGCATTAGCCCGCAAGGGATGAAATTGTCCTTGGAGGCGCATCGGTCGCAGGGTCTGTCTCCGCCGGTTGGCATCCACATTATGCAGCTCGGCTGCCCCCCGGGCGCAGAACTTGCGAGCCCGGCTTCCAAACACCGCTGGGTTCAGACAGACGAAGAAATGCCAGGGGTGGGGGTCGTTCTGTGCCGTCAGCTCCTGAGCCGTTCGCACACGCTCCGGTCCCGTCCTCACGCCTGCCTGGGCCACGGGGAGAAACAGCCTCCCTTTTCCAGACGAGATCTCCCCTCGTCACAGGGCTCCGGGAGCTGGAGCTTTCAAAAGCTGCCATGGCCGCACTGCTTACAGCCAGGAGAACCACAGCTGAGATCAGGGCTCCCTGGTGCCAGACACGAGAGAGACCCTGCCCCCACTGAGATCAGGGCCCCAGGGTGCCGGGCGCTGCACAGACAGACCCTGCCCTGCCTGAGATCGGGGCCCCCTGGTGCCGGGCGCTGCACAGACAGACCCTGCCCTGAGCTCTCAATCCAGACACACAGGGGAAGGGGGGATTCCCCCAGGTTCATAGTCGGGGGGTTCACTCCAGGTCACACAGGGAGTCGTGCCGAGCGGGGGATTGATCCTCGATCTCCGGGGGCCCAGCGCGGGCCCCATGAGCCCACGGAGGAGCGAATGCAGCGGCCAGCGGTTGAGGCATCTGTGGGGCTGGGGAGAGGCTGCCCCACCCAGCTGGCTGCCCCAGGGCCGTGGCGTTCTCGCTGGGGCTGGTGTCCGAGATCCCAGGGCCCCGCGGTGTCAAGGATGGGCCCTGCCCCGCAGTGCTTAGCCCGAGTCCCTTCCCTTGCAGCCCGGGGGAGAAGATCACGGTGGTGGATGACTCCAACGAGGAGTGGTGGCGGGTAAGGAGGGGTCTTCCCAGTCAGCTGGGGAGGGCTCCGGGGTCTCGGCAGCAGCGGGGCACACGGTGGGGGCAGCGACTGGGGGGATAGAGCTTAAAGCCGGTGGATCTTCAACACTCACGAGGGTGAGGGGCTGCCTCAAGCTTCTCCCCAATCCCAGCCCGCAGCCCCCTGCTAGCCCAGCCCTGGGTTCACCCCCCAGCCCTGCTGGGGCCCCTCACTCCTGATCCCCAGCCCCTGCTAGCCCAGCCCGGGGCTCCCCCCGTGCAAACAGCTTTGCCAATGTCCGCACCCCACAATCCCAACCCGCTGCTTGCACTGTTCCAGGCCCGGCATGTTGGAGGAGGGGTGGTGTCCTTGCAGGCTGGGCTGCTCCCAGTGACCCCCCCGTCCCCCTCCCCGGTGTGACTCCTTGCAGGGGAAGATCAGTGAGAAAATTGGCTACTTCCCCCCGAACTTCATCGTCCGGGTGCGAGCGGGCGAGCGGGTTCACAAGGTCACCAGGTCCTTCGTGGGTAACAAGGAGATCGGGCAGATCACGCTGAAGAAGGATCAGGTGAGCACAGAGCCAGCTCCCCGGGGGGGCCTCACCCCTCCCCGACACGCCCCCCCAACCCCCAGCCCGGTCCTTCTGCTGCACAGCCAAGAAACACGCCATCCACCTCTGGCACCAGCAGCTCAGGGCATGGGTGCCCGGCCCCGAATCCCTGACGCCTCCGTGTTCTCCCCTCCCAGGGCAGGGGAGCCCAGCCCTGCACCCTCACACTGCATGAGGCCCAATCCTGCACCCCAATCCATCCCTCCCCCCTTCCATTCCCCAGTGGTCCTCACTGCCTCTCTGCCCCTGTTCCCCTCCACCTGCATGGATGCCCAGCCCTACGTCTCTGCCCCCGCGCTCCCTCTGTCTCCTGCTCTGCATCCATGTGCCCCACTGCATCTCCGACCCCAGCCCCACCACTGCCCTATGGGCAGCCTGCTCTGTATCTGGTTCCCAGTGGCGTCTAACCTGCCCCCCCTCCGGGGCACCCTCCTTCCTTCCCCCCAGATCGTGGTGCAGAAGGGGGAGGAAGTGAACGGGTACGTCAAGGTCTACACCGGCCGCAAGATGGGGCTCTTCCCCGTCGACTTCCTGGAGGAGATCTGAGCCCGGGCCGGCGCCGGCAGCGGTCTTTAGCCAAGGGGCGAGCGGGCTGGGCCTGGAGCCGCGCCTCATGCCTGAACACGGCCCCCGGGGGGCATTTCCTTAGAGATCGCTCCTGGGGGCAGCTGCAGATGGAGCCCCCCTCCTGGAATAAATGCCCCGTGTCGCTGCAGGGAGCGGATCCTCAGCAGGGATATCGGTGCTGGGGTGCCAGCTAGGCCATGATCCGTCAGCCGCCTTGGCCCGGGACACGTGGCGGGCTGGGGCAAGCAGCAGATCCCTTGTTTGCTCTCTCCGGAGGATGGAAGCGGGGTGGTGGGGCCAAGGGGGGCAGAGAGGAGCTCCCCCAGGACATTTCTCTCCTGGCACGCTCACCGACGGGCAGAGGCGGGTGTGTGTGTGTTTGCACTTAGGGCTGGGGTACCTTGAGGTGTCTCCCTTCCCCGGGGTGTGTGTGTGTGGTGGTGGGGGGGGTTACCCCGGCTGTTGCTGGGGGTTTGCAATCTTGCTACATGTTGTCAATATACCCATGTTTCCCCTCCCAGTTTGTTCTCTCTGGGGACCCGGGGCGTGGGGGTGTCGGGGCTGCGCTCTGGGGAAGGGGCTGCGCGGCTGGGGCTTGGTTGGAGATGCAGGGGTGGGGGCGATGCAGGTGAGGTGGCCTGGTGGCTCGGAGGTTTGCATGGGGCACTGCCTGGGGGCAGGGGTTGGTTTGAGCCACGGGGGGTTCAGAAGGGTGTGCACGTGCGTGGGGGGAGAAGGGTTTGCTGGCTTATGCCCCCTCCCTCTCTGTGCCCTGGCATCCTCTAGCACCAAGGCCTGGGGGGGCGATGCAGCTGTGCAGCCAGCAGGGGGCACTCCCGGCACAGCAATTGGCCTTTCTCTGCAGCTCTCTCCTTTCGGGCTCTGGGCTGGGCTCCCCCATTTGAACAGGGCAGGGTTTTGCATCAGTAAAACTCCCACAGCCTGGCTGCTTGGTGTCCCGTTGTGGCCCAGGGAGGAGGAGGACTGGGCAGCGGGCCGGGGTGGGGGCTGGCTTGGATCTAGCCCTGGGCGTGAACTTGCTTCCCGTCCCTGGCTGCTCAGGGTGACCTGAGTTTGCTGGGTCTCAGCTGGGGCCGGTGCGTGGGGTGAGCCAGCCCGGGGAGACCTAGGGTCCTCAATCCCCCGTGAAACTGTCTCCTGTCGTATTAACCCTTGTCGTCAAATTCCCAAGTGAGCATTTCTTGCTGCCAGCGATCCGGGGGCCCCAGCGGGGTGGCTCACGCTCGTATCCCCGCCCCCGTGGGGTTTCCTGCACGACGATTTAGCGCCACTCCCCCCTGCCCAGGGAGATTTCCTGCCGTCCCTCGAGGCTGCTTTCCCGGCCCGCGGCCCCGGCATCGGCTGCCTGCAGGACAGGCAGCTCCCACCACAGCACCGGGAAGTGGCCGCCCCGTGCAGCTCAGAGCCGAGCCCCATCTGGGCCTTGTCTCCACTGGGGAATCATGAGCACGTGTTGGTGACCCACATTAGCCAATGAGTGGGAAGCTGGGGCTTTTTCGGGGAGATCCAGGTGCCGAAGCTGGGATTGCAACTCCTGGGTAGCCGAGAGAGGCAGGTTGGGGCAGTGGTGAGAGTGGGAGAATGGGGCAAAGCCAGCTGGGACTTCTGGCTCTGCCACAACCATTCTGTGCAACCCTGGGCAAGTCACTTACTCCCTGCTGTATTCATCCTCACAGCCCCTGTGGGACACGAGACTATGAGGGGCTCTGGCTTGATGCTTTATTGGGGCTGGGAGGGAGGGGGGCCACCCCAACACCCCAGAGCCAGCAGTTCAAATCCCAGCTCGAGCAGCCATCTCCATGCAGGTCCTGCCAAGCTGGGGTCCTGCCTGGAGTCAGGGGGAATGGGATTCCTTCCCTAGTTGCGCTTGGTGCTGTGTGCCAGGTTGGGTGCCCACTCTGCCCCAGAGACAGCCGCATTGACAGGGGGAGTGACTCGGGAAATGGAAATGACCTGCCCGGTGAACCAGGCAGGAGCTGGGGGTACCCAGCAAGGGCAAAGAGCAGAGATCCTTCCCTCTGGCACCGGATCTATTTACAGCAGAAAGAGTCCCTGAGGGGCTGAGCCAGGGACCGGGCATCTTGTCCAGAATCCACAGCCACCCTGCCGGGGGGCCTGAAAGCCCAGAGCTGGGCTGCGTGCCGTCCAGCCCAGAACTGGAGCCCAGCCCGGACGGCGCCATGTATGGGTGCCAGGGGACAGGTGCGGCCGCCCCAGGCCTCTCCTGCCCTAGAGTTTGTTTGGTCATTGGAAAATTCAGGGCTTGGCTGGGGGGGGGGCATGCGGGGGCGAGGAAACAGGTGCTTCCCTGCAGGGCGTCTGATCCGGTGCCGAGGTCAGGGCCAGCGCGGGGACAAGGAGCAGAACCCAGCCCCCTGCACTGGGGGCAGGGGGGTATCTTCAGAGCCAGCTCCTGGGGCTGGTTGATGCTCTTGCCCCCCGCCCCGGGAGGCCGTGGGGCAATGCAGGGGGCTGAGGGACATGTCCCCTCTAAGGATCCGGCCCGCTGGCCCTGAGTTGACGGGGGGTTGCCCCTGGAGCCTGGTGTTCACAAACTGGGGGGTCGATCTCCCTTGTGGCCACTAGGTGGCACCTGGGCCCTGCCCCTTGCTCTTCCCCAGCTGTAACTTGGCAAGTCCAGGTTCGGGGCTGGGTATGGGGCGAAGGAGGGGAGACGTGTGGGAAGGCAGCATGGGGGGAGCGGGTTCATGGCTCCCAGGAGTGGAGCCTGCAGAAAGGGATCACTGTCCCCCCACCCCCCCGAGATGAGGGGTGTCCAACCAATCCCTGGGGAGATGGGCCCCCTTGTCACTTCCTGTCCCAAACTGCGCTGGGGCTGGGTTAAGAGCAGCTGCTCGGCTAATCCCATGCCTCCGGCCGCACCACCTGGCCAATGGAGAAACTGCCTCAGCTGCCTTCCCGACCACCGGCCCCGGGGACCAACCCACCCCCCGCAGTCGGCGGCCTCCCTGGGATGGGACCCTGCGAACGTGGGGAGGCTGCAGGCTCCCCGGGGGGCCCCTGCTGACAGCTGCTGTCTGCTGGGGTGCGCTCAGTCCCTGGGGCCCGTCCAGCCCTCACCCGAGTACTGCCCCATGGGATGGTCATGCTGTTGGGGGCTGGGCTGAGACCCCCCCAAACTCATGTCACGTGGGCCCCCAGGCAGCACTCAATGGCGGTGACTTTCCTTCCCTTTTGATCTGTGCCCTGAAGGGAAAAGCCCCCGTGTCCCATTCCCTGTCCCCCTGAGCCAACCAGTCCTCAGCCCTGGGGCCAGATGGGAGCCGGTGCCCTCTAGATGGGACAGGCCCCTCTCCCCCTGAGCCAACCAATCCCCTGCCCTGGGGCCAGGCCTAGATCAGAACCCGAGCCCCCTAAAGGGGAAAGCCCCATAGCCCATCCCTGCCCCCTTGAGCCAGCCAGTGGGGGGACCTCGTGGTGGGGACCAGCAGGTTGGATCGGAACCGGCGCCTCTAGAAGCCAAATTCTCCCTGAGCCAGCCAGCCCGCCCCGGCTCTAGTTTTCAGGCTGGGGCTGGATTTTTCCCCCCTCCTCCCCAAAGCGTTATGGGGCCGCGCCTCTGTCACGTCTTTAATCTCACTGCCATTGGGATTCAATTCAATTCAATTAGCCGGCTTTGTTCTGCCGCCTTGTAATCCCGGTGCTGGCAAATCGCAGCCCTCGCGGCATCACCGAGCAGGCCCCACGGGTGACGCAGGGTTGTTTCCTCGCCTGGCACAGGCCCACGTGGGGACACCCTCCACGGCCTCTCTCCTCCCAGGGGGGCAGCCCCATGGGCCGCCGTGGCTGGTGCAGGGAGGTCACCCGTTAAGCCCTGGCTTTGCCAGCTAGCCTGGGACAATCCGGCACTCGCTGCCTCTGGGAAATGGCACCAGCTTTGCCCTGTCCCTGTTCAGCGCTGGGGGCGTTTGCAGGAAGGCAACAGTGGTCTGGGGTCACAGCGGGGGAAATCAGGACTCCTGGGTTCCTTTCCTGAGCTGGGGAGACCAGGGTGAGGGGGCCCTGGGGGTTAGAGCAGGGGACTGGATCAGGACTCCTGGGTCCAAGTCTGGGCCTGGAAGAGAGTTGGTTTAGTGGTGGAGCAGTGGGGCTGACTCAGAGCCAGGACTCCTGGGTTCTGTCCCTGGCTCTGGGAGTGGAGTGAGGTCTAGTGGTTCGAGCAGTGGGGGGCTGGGAGCCAGGACGCCTGGGTTCTATCCCTGGCTCTGCCACTGTGCTGCTGTCTGATCTTTGGCAGGTCACCTCTCTCCCCTAGGGTATTGCCCGGTTGAGCGGTGACTCCCCCCATCGGTGATCGTCCGGGACCTGAGGTCAGAATCCTGCTCTTGGTGACATCGCGACTCGTGGCTATGGTCACAGCGATGAGGTCACTAGGATGTGAAAGGCCCTGGGCAGACGGCCCAGTTTGGAGGGGGCAGCGCTGGTGCCCCCTGCTGGCATCCCAACCCCTCTGCGCTGTTCTGTCGGGGGGCCTATGGCCGCTCTAGCCCGCTCCCCGTGCCCCGATCAGGCTGCAAGCGGGTGGATCCCCAAGCTTAGCAGCGGCTGATGACTGTGGGAGCCAGCACGGAACCGTGCACGTGGCTTTATCTGAAGGCCCCGCATCCCGTTTCCAAACTGCCCCCCTCACTGGAGTTTTATTGTCCCCCCCTGGCTCCACTCCCCACCCCCAGGCCCTGATGGCTTGCTGGAGCTCGTTAGCGCCGGGTGGGGGGCAGTATCCCTCTCCCTCTCCCTTCTCCTCGGCACTCCTCCTTCCCTCACTCGCCTCTCTAATGAAAAGAAAAGCCCAACATCAGACAGCCTGAAGTGTCCATAAAGCATCTTTAAGTCCAAGTAATTAAGGCAATTTCACAGCCTGCGAGCGCCGTGCCGGAGGGACCCCGAGCTGGCTTCTGCCTTTGCATTTTAAACCATCTGGAAGAAACGGCTCCCCAGCCGGGTGCCAATTAACCCGTGTCGCTCTGGGGGGTGGAGAGGAGGAGCGACGGGGGGGCATGGTAGGGGAGAAGGGGATGGCGGGGTGCCCGCAGGGGCCGGCAGAGGGAACTGGGGAGGAAAGGGGTTGCTATCCTGGTTCCCCACCCCGTGTCCATAGGGCGCCTCCATTTGCTCTAACCCAGCCCTGGCTGCAGGGACCCCAAATATGGGGAGCCCCAGGTCCTAAGGGGCTTAGAACGTGGCCTGCAGGTGCTGCCAGGAAGGTGGGAACCCACTAGCCCCAGGAGCCAGCGTTGGGATGGGGGAGGTCAGTGCCACGCCGCCTGCCCGCGGCTGAAACGCCGGCAGCCAAGGGGTCTGCCGGCCACATGCCACCAGCTGAGGCTACCCACGGGATGAAGGGGGAGGCAGGGTGAACCTGTGCCCGGGGGGATGGTCCGGGGTTATGCACGCAGCGTGGGGAGCA